TTTAAATCTCAATAACATTACTCATCGAATAAATTCATTACTCATTGAATAATTTTTTTTTTTGATTTTACAATAAAAAGTTGTTCAGATCAACTTATGTGCACTTGTATTAATCTCTTCCCAAATTCAGTTAAAAACATGTAATTTATGTTGGAACTACGATATTCACGAGAGATAAATCTATCGTGATCTGACCCAAGAGATCAATAAAATTTAAACTCAAGACATCTGAATTTACGATTCATCTCTATTACCATTTAATCTACCTCTTAAAGTGCATTGAATAAATATTAATGATGCATTTGATAACCTTTTTGTTTTTACTTTTTTTTTGTTTTTTCTGTGATAAAAATTAAAAATATAAAACATGTTTGTTAGTCATTTATATTTAAAAAATTATGAAAATAAAAATAAAAATTTTGTCTGGTATTATAATAGTATTGTCATAATTCATTGGGATTTTTTTAATTAATTTTTCAATCCCAAATACATCTACACCCAAATCATCGTCTCGACCATTCCAAAACCCATCACTTAACTCATCTGTTTGGCCACCATCAATACAACCAAAAACCCACCACCACCACCCATGTTTAGTCACCACCCAACTACTGAAAACTCACTATCCAACCCACCACCAACACCATCAAAATCCCACCATCCAATCCACCGAAAACCCAACTTCAATAACCCCAAAAACCCTACTGCAGTAGCCCCGAAACCCACCACCACTGATGCACACAAACAGAGATGCATACACAAACACAGATGTTGAAATCAACCACAAAATAAAATGGAAATGAAGAAAAATTCCTAAATCTGCAAAAATAACACTTAAATTTTGAAAAAAATGAAAGGGTGAGCATGGCCAATTGAAAAGATGCAAGGGTAAGCGTTGAAGAAAGTGGAAAGCTTTGCCTGAGAAAAGCGAAGCCGGAGCTTTGCCGATTGGGATCCCACGGAGCTGTGAGCTTCACCACAGTCGTAGACCCAAAGACGAGAGAGAGAGAGAGAGAGCTTTGTTTTTGCTTTATATAGTTGCTATAAAAATGTTCTATTTTTTGCTTTTAATGAAAGTCGAAGGCTAGATTTGATTAAAGACCTCCCCGAGGCCCACATATTTTCATTTTTCTATGCTTTCAAAAGCCTCATTTTTCTTGTTTTCAATATTCACCCTAGTTTTCAAAACAACCCGACTAACAAATAAAAATAAAAACATAAATCAAATGTATTATTATTTTAAATTTAAAAAAAATTAAAAACAAAAAAGATTGAATTATCAAACTCTACCTAAATGTAACGATTACACTACATCATCAGCAATATTAATAATCATAAAAATGTTGAGCTGACAAATATGAGATGGATTTGAATTTGAAGACACCAAGAAGTTGAGCAACGTTTGGGGTTATAATTTTAACTTCAAAACTTGGTCCAAAGCACAACTTTTGTTCTGTTTTTAGCAAGTTGGGTAGCAACTTTTTTGTTATTTTCTTCGATATCTTTCGTTTTTTTTTTCAACGGTGAGAGTGTTTGAACTAATTTATGCACACATCGATTAATTCTCTTTATGATCCAATCAAAGACAGATCGTCTACGTCAGAACACTACTATGTTGTCCAAATTAAAACCCAAATTTTATATCTTAAATACACGTGCACCACACCTTTTATTTGATGGGTCTGAAAAAATCAATTTTTTCATTTAATGTATGGTGGACATGCATTTAAAATACAAGGTTTAGGTTTTAATTTGGGTAACATACATTTCTCATTTTCTTTTTCTTCTCACCCACTTTATTTTTTCAAATTTTCTTTCACTTTGTTAAATTGAAGAAATCAGCCACTTACCCTGCTTTATTTTTATCAATGCATGAAATGAATATATATATATGATTTATCAATTTATATTCAAAAAAGATAAAGCTTATAATCTGGATATAGCAAAAGATAAAGCCTCTAGTAAAAGAAAGACATATTCTACGCCTTATAAAAAGGGTCAAAAGTTCTATAAAAAGAATTATGCTAAGGATTACGAAACAACTAACAAAGCTACTAAAAGGGTCAAAGAAAAAGACAAGAAATCTCTTATTAAATGTTTTAAGTGTGGAAAAGAGGGTCACATTGCCTCTAAATGTTTAACTAAACAACAGATAAATAAATTAATTAATGATGAAGACCTTAAAGAAAAAATCTTTAAAATTGTTTTAAACTCCGAAAGTGAGTTATAAGATAATTTTGATAATTTTTCTGAAGACTATAACATTAATGAAACTACGATTCAAAATATAAAGATAGAAATTAATGAAGTCAAAGAAGAGATAAAAGTCTTAAAATCTAGATTATTAGCTTTAGAAAAAATTCAATCTAGAGAAAGTGACATACAAAACGATATAACATCACCATCACTATCTAACTTTGATGATAAAACATCACCAAATGAAAATATAAATGTTTTAGAAAAAATAACTTATCAAAAATAGTATGTTAAAATTATCATAGTTATAAATTCTGAATTTATTGTCGAAACTATTACTTTAATTGACAGTGGTGCAGATATGAACTGCATAAAGGCAGGCTTACTTCCGACAAAATATTTTGAAAAAATTACTCAATCAGTAAGCGATGCTGATGGGTCAAAATTAAATATTAATTTTAAACTTTCTAATATTTTGGTGTGTAATTAGGGAATTTGTATTCCTACCACTTTTATGCTCATTAATAATTTAAATCAATTGGTAATCTTAGGAACACCATTTTTATCTTTAATCGAACCTATAGAAAGGATTGACTCTAAAGGAATTTTGAATACCATAAATGGTCAACAAATATTAATTGAGTTTATAACTCCACTTCAAATAAAATTGATAAATCAAATAAAAGAAAATTTGATTTATAAAGAAAATCAATTACATTTTTCATCCTCTTCTAACATATTAAAAGGTGATGTTTATTTTGCAGGACAAGTCCAAAAAATTATAGAAATGAGTCATAACCCAGATTCATTTTCTTTGAATCTTATTGCCAAATTCCTTAAACTTCTTGACTGTTTTTGTGATTATGCAGGAGAAGATGTTTATAGCTTTTCCTCCACATGGAATACTAATAACTACAAAGTTACACTTTGGTGTCTCTATTGCAATGTTATGGCAGATCAATTAATTGATCATACACCTATCTTTTTATTAAGAATTGCAAGACGTCAAAATGAGTCTTTAAAAGCAGGTTTAAAGTTCCATCTTATTTTTGAAATTAATGACTGACATTATAAACAATTACTAGAGACTATCGTCCCAGAAGAATTTTGCTAAGAAATGATAAATAAACTTGGTGGTATAACTGTTAGAACCTAAGTTTTTGCATATAAAAATGCAAATTATGCTGATGACTATAAAGATGTTTTTTATGCATATAAAAGTGCATATTATTTTAATTCATATTAGGATGATCATTATTTTAATGCATATAAAAATACTTATTATCCTCCACTTTCTATAAAGCCATTATCGCATAAAGGTGATATGGATGATAACCCGTCAAAATAACTTAAAGTTGTTGCTTCTTGTCAAATAAAATTGGCAATAACGAACAAATGTCAGGAGATAAATCTTTTTCTATTATTCCAAAATCTTTGACTTTGTCTCCATATAAGGATTTTCATAATTTCAATGAAAGGATATATCCTTATAATATTAATAATCCCAGACAAATCAGGGAATATTTAGTCCACTTTGTGGAAAATTACCCGCTTGAATTTAAAAGTAAAATCATAGCGGAATGTTTTAAAGACATAGATAAAGAAGAAGATAAAGCTTCATTTTCTACATCAGTGGTTCTCTTTACCAGTATAAAAACTGGAACTAATTTAAACCCTGTTGAAGTTCTTAAAGAACTAATTAAGAAAGAAAAACCTCATTTAAATTCTGAGTAGCTTAAAGCAGCAGTTATTGAAAAATTTGACTTTTAGATCATGTCTACTTTTGGAATGAGTAAAATAGAGAAGATGAATCTCGTCAACACTCCTACAGTTGTCATAAAAGGCAAAGGAAAATATAAAATTGAGGAAGACAATAAGAAATCTTCCACTCCTATTAATTCTGATGACAACTTTATAGATTCTCAGGAATATACTCCTCTTAAAGCTTACATTGAAATTAATGAATCCTTGCTAAATGAAGATTTGTTAAATGTTCCCTTTATCGGGATTTGTCATCATGGTGATTTATCTCCATATCAACATTTAACAAAATGATTTTTATTTTTCGCGATTTAGATCGCTTTAAATTTTATTTTAAAGTTAATCTAACGGTTAATATTAACACCTTAAATTTAATAGAAAAAAGAGCCACTAAGAGTGTGTTTGGAATGACTTTTTAAAAATATTTCTAAGAATTATTTCTTATAAGTACTTTTAGAAAAAAATAGTGTACGAAACCGCCGCACTACTACCTCTACCACCACCGCCGCCGCCGCCAATGCCACCACTACCACCACCTCCGCCATTGCTACTGCCACTATCACCTTCATCGCTACCACCACCACCACCACCCTCACCACGGTCATTGCCACCTACCACAACCATCATCGTCTCTTACCACCATCTCCAAAGCTGGATCTATTAGTGAGCTAAGGTGGGCTGAAGTCCAAAGTAAAAAAAAAAAAAAAAAAATTACCACTAACTCAACCCAAAGCAACGGTTACCTGCAAATTCCCCAAAATAGTCTCTTCTCTCTCTCAAATGGTCTCTCTCAGTCTCTTCTCTCGGTCACTTCCCCCAAAATCATGCCGAATACATGTCGGAAGTATCTTCTCTCTCAAGCGGCCAGTCACTTCCCCCAAAATCATGTCATAAACTGTTCGATCAAATGCCCCAAAATCATGCCACAAGCTGTTTGATCAAGCGGCCAGTCATTTCCCCAAAAATCTGTAAAATGCCCACAAGCTGTTCGATCAAATGCCTCTAAATCACACACACATCTGTTTTTCCGGCAACTGTTCGAATCAAATGCCCAAGTTCATACTGTTATGAGGTTGAGTAGGCTGAGGTTCATAATAGAGCATAATAGCAAGCTCATGGAGTAGGCTGTTCGCTGTTATCAGTCGAATCAAATGCCCGTATGGTAATGGAGTAGGCTGAGGTGAGGATTTCTTAATGCTGTAGCAAGTTCATACTGTTCGAAACCTGAATTTATATGCATAAGAAGTTGATCTCTTGCTTATTTGCAGGTTGTGCGAGGAGATTTTATCGTTTTCTTTAATCAAATCTTCGATGCTCTCAGTAAACTCTCGGCAGATTCAGATCCCAATGTACAGAGTGCTGCACATCTTTTAGACAGACTTGTAAAGGTGAACAATTAAATTTTCTCCACTCATCTAGGCTTGTTCCTATTGTATCAAGTATTAACAATACGTTTTAACTTGATGTCTTCCGGTTGTTTTTCAATCTTCAAATAGAGGGTATTAAAGTTCAGTTCTTCGCATGAAATAAAACTTTTCTTATTACATTTTGCATTTCTGGTTTCAATTTTCGTTCCTTCTGCCTTGTTTCTGGTGTTGTCCTCATCTATAAAAGTGTTTACTTATTAGTATTGATAGAAAATACAGTATTTGATAGAGGACAATTACAGAAAATACAGAAAATATTTGACCATACTAGATGCTATGTGATGAACTCCAGAACTAGTGATAGCACCCATATCCCAGTCTCGAGCTTCACCAACCAAAAAAAGTGGTACGGTCTCTCAGATCTAAGTTCAAACAAGTAAACCAAGCTAGAGGAAAGACTCGTCAAAAAATCGAATCAACAATTTTGATGGAATACATCACTAAGTGTTTATGAATTTACATTTGTATTATTATATATATGTTTATGAGTTTACATTTATATTTTGTTAGTCATATGAATACTTAGTTTAACTTAAGATAAATAAAAATTCTGGCTCGGAACTTGACCACCATTGTCGCCCACCACCTCTCACCCTCACTGTAACTGATGTTTGAATTCATTTATTTCTCCTCTGTGTTTGTAATTTAATTTTGAATATGAATACAAATATATTTGTTATTTATCATTTTTTATCACTCTGTACTTTTAGGTACAGACAATAACTAATATATCTATATAATAAAGTAGTTTATAATTCAAATTTTAAAAGATAAATAAAATGACTTTTATTTTTTGCAGTTCCGATCGTTTTAAATTTTATTTTAAAGTTAATCTAACGACTAATATTAACACCCTAAATTTAATAGGAAAAATAGGGCCCTAAGGGCGTGTTTGAAGTGATTTTTTAAAATTACTTTTAGAAATTATTTTTCATAAATACTTAAAAAAAAATAGTGTTTTTAAAATAGCCCTACCACTACCTCTACCGCCACTGCCACCACCATCACCACCACAGCCATCATCGTCACCACCACCGCCCTTACCCCTATCACCATTGCCACCACCACAACCACCACCGCTGTCGTCACCACCACCGCCACCATCCCCACCTCCTCCACCACCGCCACCCCCACTATTGCCACCACCACCCCCACTATTGTCGTCGCCGTTGCCACCACAGCCATCATTACTGTTACCACTGTCATTGCCACTCACCACAATCATTACCGTCTCCTACCATCACCACTGTCGCCCACCACCTCTCACACTCACTACAAATCGATGCTTAAATTTCTTTATATCTTCTTTTTTTGTGATTTGATTTTGGATATAAATATAAATATATTTATTATTTACCATTTTTTATTACTCTGTGCCTTTAGCCACAGGCAGTAACTAGTAATTATATATTTAGTCTATTTTTTTTATTTAAATTTTGTTTAGACCAAAAGAAACCTAGTTTTGTTGTATCATATATTAACTGAGCCCTGAATTTTAATACATTTTTTTGGTGTTTAAACTTAAAATTTTCTTTCTTTCAACTATTGAATTATTTTCCGTCATATTTTGTCCCTTCTTAGGCAAATTCGCGACACTGCCCTATAAATGCCTAATCTATAAACATACAAAGTTCTGTCATGCAAGATTTAAAATCCAAATAGTTTAAGCATCCAAAAACACAACACAGAAAATGACATGATTAATCTCAAATATTATAATCGATCACGAAAGTTTCAACATTTAAAAGTTAAGTTACAATTTTCAGAGGAAGTTCATGATTGATCATGAATTTACTTAAGGAGTTATAACATTATCTTTAAAAAATGTAATTTACTCACTAAAAATAGTAATTATCAATGGGATAATTATTTTTTTTCGGTACAATAGAATTACCCAGAGAAAAAATGAAGTGAAAACCTTGTTTGCAATCACAATACATGATGAAGATTGATTCTATGGGCATGCTAATATTCAACAAAGTGATCAAAATATGCATTTTTGTTTTGTTTTGTTTTGTTTTGAGAAGTCATGGGAAAATGAAGAAGAGAAACTATAGGTCTCAAAGACTCTAAAATCAACTTTAATGCAGTGTTCATAGATTTTCATACAAAGTATAACTATAAATCTGAAATGTTTGTAACAGTCATTAGTCCAAAAGACATCTAATGAAGACGGTTTTTTTATCATGAAAATATTTTCAAAATATGAAAAATAAAAAGGTTTTGGTTTGCAAATCATCCTCCAAATTTGTTGAAAATTTTTCCATCAGTTGACAGGACATCATGGATTGAGATCCTCTATTATTTTTTTTTACATAATTTTATTCAGTCGTAAATTACCGATCATGTATTCACGTAAAACCCATTATTTATATATAGGTCATTCATTCATATATAGGTAATGATCTATCATTGAATAAAATCGAGTAAAAGTATAATAGAGAAGATTGAGTAAAAGTATAATGAAGAAGATTTAGATTTGGACATCAGCTTTCATCCCTCTCACAAAAATGCATATCCCGTATGCATGGCGTAATCAGCATTAACATGTAATTTATGGGTAAGATCATCACGGTACAACAAGAAATATCGTACCAAAATTTATAATTTTTCAGATCAAGTTACAGATAAATGATTTTAAATTATGACAAAAATATTTGAAGATCAATCCTAGATGTTAAAGATTGATACCAAATAACTCTATTTTGTTGTAATTCGATTCGAAAAATTGTAAATTTTATAATGATACAAAGAAAATGTGAAGAAAATAAATACCCATTTTTCGTTTGCATTTTGCAAGCTGAAATTCATAAGAAGTTTTTAATGGAAATTTCACATTCCTTGGAGGAGATAATTCACCGACGACTCTTCTCCTCCGCCATGTTCTCCATTCTGGCCTCCACTATCCTCACCTTTCACCACCACTGCCGCCTCCCCAAAGTGCACGTGCCGTCCGTCTTTAGGAGAATTCTCAGGCGGCTCATCATTGCTTGGCAGTACCGCCGTGTTGGCGGTCTTTGGTGGTGGTGGTGTTGCAAGGCTGCCACGCCGGGAAATCTGGCGGTCGTCGACGGGGGTGCGGCGGAAACAAGCTTTGATACAGGTGTAGATGTAGGTTAGAAACCAGAAAATCCATGGCGAGCCTATTAATAAGAATGCAGCCATGGGAAACCATGGCTCAGAAAGGTTGGGAACGTAGACGTAGACAACAAGGAAGACTCCACCGGATATTACAAACAGGCAGAATAGAGCGGAGATGAGAGGGACTCTAATATCTCCTTCTCTTTCCTCCTCCATTGATATTGTCCTTACAATCTCTCTTTCTCTCTCTCTCTCTCTCTCTCTAATTATCCTCTCTCTTCTACTTCTTTCCTTGTTCTTTATCTTCCTTCCCCCATGGTGGTTTGAGTTGGGAAAACACGAGTATTTCCTTTTTTCTCTCTCTTCTACTCTTTATCTTCCTTCCATGGTGGTTTGAGTTTGCTAAATAACCTTAAATTCAACAACTTCTGTTTCTCTCTCTCTCTCTTTTCCTTGTAGGGTTGTTGCAGCAAAACAACAATATTATGATGGACAGATCCAAAACAGAAACAAAAGAGCGTGGAAAACAGAGGTAGAATGGTGATGTTCATTCAGAATGATTGACAACAAATGTTACACATCTTGTTTTGAGAGATAGAGAGCTAATTGATCGGCTGTAGGTAGTTTACTGTTAAATTGATTGTCAAAACGGCGCTGTTTTGAGAAACAACACCTCCTCCACGGAAGAGCTCGATCTTTAATTGAACACGGTCTATAGATTGTGATGGTGATAGTTGTCTCACGTGGCAAAATTTGTTAGCATTTAGCATTCCCCATTTTTAGGATTTCATTTAAACAAAAAAAAACATGTGAATTGTTTTGTCAAAATGTTATGTTTGGATATGAATTATTATTACTATTATTTTTTTTTTGTAGAAGGTAAGTTTGGAATATATGTTATTTTGATCCGACATCATTATNGGGGTTCTTGCGTATGAAGCAAGCAACTTTTGCCTTTGCATACAGGCAGCCTAGTGAGCAACAGATTTGACTGCATTTGGGTTTTAGATAAACTCAATTCTTAAGTTGCAATACACTTTAGGCTTAGAAATCATGAGACCAATCCTGGGAAGGTGTCTTGCATGGGCCAGAATTATTATTGATTTCATGTTCTAATGAACTTTCAGCACAAATTGCTTCGGCAACTCCTGCAAGATACCTCATTCAAGTATTGTCTCTGAATTCTCCTTGATGCCACATCATTCCTTGTCAGNAGTATATTAATGTTATATGAAGATGCACTGACTTTAGTGAGAACAACGGCAAGAGAGATTAAGAAATTTCTAATTACTGGAGATTTACATCAGGTTTCCGCTTTAAGTCCTTATCTTTTTACGTTGACTATGGATGAATTGACTAGGTACATTCAGGATGACCTCCTATTGTGTATATTATTTGCGCATGATATTGTACTAGTTGATGAAAATAAAGAAAGAATTAATAATAAACTAAAAAGTTGGCGAGAAATCTTAGAATAAAAAAGATTTAGGATAAGTAAGACTAAAAGTAAGTATATGAAATTTAACTTTAGTAAAAGAATAAATCAAAATCAGGAAGTAGTGAAAATTGAAGATCGAGAGATACCAAAAAGTAAATGAAAGAATGCATCTGACATATTGTGTGATATATGTATATCCCTACCTTAAATTAAAAGGAAAATTATATAGAACGACTATAAGAACTATTATGCTTTACAATACTGAGTGTTGAACAACTAAGAAACAATATGTTCAAATGTTGTGTGTGACATAAATAAGAATGTTAAAATAAATGTGTGGCAAAACTAGGAAAGATAAAATTGAAGATAAATTAAGGAAGAATTGACTTAGGTGGTTTGGATTTTGGACATATTTATAGACTACTTCCTATGGCACCAATGAGAAAGAGTGATATTGTAGCTATTTAAGGTAAACGTAGGATAGAGGAATAGCAAAATTAATTTTAAATGACATTGTAAAAAAAAAAATGATATGATAATTTATAATTTAATTAAAAACATTGTCCTTGATAAAGTTTAATGGCGAACATGATTTATGTAGTTGACCCAAAAAAACATTGAGACAAAATTTGGTTGAATTGAGAATTTAGCATTGCTCTTAGTATTGGATTAAATTTACATATTAGTTCTCAAAATTAAATACAAGTGAAATTTTTTTTAATTTCAATAGGGGAGAAAGCTGAATAAATTCAAAAGGGGCCATATGGTTATTTCCTAAAGTGATTGGGCGAAGTACAAATGAGCCTAAGTGAAGGGTTAAACTGAAATTTTCCCTATGCTCCTTTTTGGGAGAAAATATTGTGTGCTCACCAAATAAAAGTTGATAGTATCATATATCATTTATGAAATATTAGTCATAACTCGTGTTTAAAGGTACGATAAAATATAAGATTCAAACATTCAAAAAATTAATCACATTATATCAAATAATAATTTTTCTTTTCTTTTCTTTGATTACATCATCTAAAATTAATTTCTACCCATTATTTTAAAAAAAAAATATCTACAAAATTTTCATAAAATATAAAATCAGTCAAAATTTTCTCAATATGTGTACATTATCATGTATGAACAATGTCTGAAATAAAAATTATGTTAAATTATAAATTAATCAAGTATTAAATAATTAAACATGTGATAGAAATGAGTGATGTGATATTTTTTGAAAAAAAATAAAAAGAAGGATAAAAATTTTAGTTTCTATGTATTTTATTAAATAGATTGTACATTCCCAATTAATTTCTGTCAATGTCAAATTGTCAATTCTTTTTTGTAAAAATCACTTGTGAGTTTAACAAATAGGTATTCCAACAACTTATAATTGGGTTAGACCGGTGATAATGTCACATGATACCTTATAAACACCGAATATTTCCTCCTATTTTTATATGTCTAGGCTCTGACCAAAGTAGGACTAGTTTGGTTCCTTGGATTGGAAGGGTATTCAATCCAATCCAATATAGTTATTAAATTGAAAGTGGACTTTATATTGATGACGTATAGACTCGAAATGTGAGGGGAATGCTTAAGTTGAAGAGCTTTAAGGCTTATGAGCAGTAGTGTGCAAGTGATTTAGTGGAGAAGAAGATGATTGGAGATGGAGCCCGGTAGCTCTACCCAATACTACAGTAAAATCAGTGAATATAGTACGAGCTAAGAATAATAGGAACACACAGATTATAGTCGTTTACTAGATGAAAAACTTAGCTAATTCACTCTAATAGAGTCTGTTACTCTTTAAAAAAATTGTATATTGCTTGTAGAAGAAGATAGAGTTGAAATTTTTTCAATGTCTTTACATGAAGAAGACCTTTGTATTTATATCCATAGATAGGGGTATTCATGGGCCAAGTTACCCACGGGTCTCGTTACTCGACCCGAAGTCTGAAAGTTGGTCCGCTCGAGTCCGAGCCTAATATCCTTAAAAAGAGGGTTTCGATTTGTTCCCAAACCCATTACCTGGCCCGAAGCTCGGCCCAAGAGCCTGCCCACGAGCCCAGTCCACCCCCGCCCTTCTTTTGAAAAAAAGTTATACTTTTAGACCATTAAATTTGAAATTTTGAAATAAGTCTCCCAATATTGAAATTTGAAATTTTAAAAATTTAGATATTATAAATAATTTATTATTTTCTTTTCCATGTATTAAGCATATAAATTTTAAATGGTAGAATAATGCAAATGACAGATAAGTTAGTAGGTGTCAACCTAATTGAGATTTATTCATTCTATTGTTCATTATTTTATTTTTATCCATTTTAACTTTACTTTTAATTCAAAAATATAATTTACACAAATATTAAGTTATAAAAATATTCATTATTTTTAAATAAAGATGTATATAAAAAAACCCACAAATAGGCCCGCTAGGCAAGCCCGCCTAGTAGGCTCATGGTTGGGACCCGCCCGATAACTCATGTGGATAAGGCCTTGAGCCTACACTACCTAGCCTAGCCTGAAAAAATTTCACAGGCCTACCCCGGCCCGGCTCGGCCCATGGACACCCCTATCCAAATATAGGGTGGTCCTCGTATCATCGAGCAATACTATTGAAACAAAATTTAAGAATATAATTTGAGGATATAATGAATTGTCACAAATGAAATGATAATGAATTCATTTAATGTTACAATGGAACCCATCATTAAATGCATTTCACTATCATTTCATTGGTGACAACTCATTATATCTCCAAATTATGTCTTTCAAATTATGTTCTAATAGCATTAATATATATCATCATTACATGATCCTCAAGTTTATTAAAATTTTGTTGAAGGAATATTAGACCATTAGAAATTATATTCCCTAAGTGTGACATGACTTTTTAGAACATGTCAGTGCCGACCCAACCTTTAGGCCAGTTAGGCCATTGCCTAGGGCTCCCAAATTGGAAGAAATATTTGGGGCCCCAAGAATAAAATAAATAATGATTTATAATAAAAATTTTAGAATATAATTTAAATACTCAATATACTTTAATCATTGAATTAATAGTGAGTACTAACTTTAAACAAAATTCACTATTTATCTAATGTATTTGGTCTTCAAATTAAGTGCAACTAGCATTATTTTAAAATTTTTAGAATCTCTTTCAAAAAAATTTAGAGCCTTAAAGTTCAACTTATTTTATTATCGCATCCGATATTTATATTATATATATTCTNACCCACAAATAGGCCCGCCAGGCAAGCCCGCCTAGTAGGCTCATGGTTGGGACCCGCCCGATAACTCATGTGGATAAGGCCTTGAGCCTACACTACCTAGCCTAGCCCGAAAAAATTTCACGGGCCTACCCCGGCCCGGCTCGGCCCATGGACACCCCTATCCAAATATAGGGTGGTCCTCGTATCATCGAGCAATACTATTGAAACAAAATTTAAGAATATAATTTGAGGATATAATGAATTGTCACAAATGAAATGATAATGAATTCATTTAATGTTACAATGGAACCCATCATTAAATGCATTTCACTATCATTTCATTGGTGACAACTCATTATATCTCCAAATTATGTCTTTCAAATTATGTTCTAATAGCATTAATATATATCATCATTACATGATCCTCAAGTTTATTAAAATTTTGTTGAAGGAATATTAGACCATTAGAAATTATATTCCCTAAGTGTGACATGACTTTTTAGAACATGTCAGTGCCGACCCAACCTTTAGGCCAGTTAGGCCATTGCCTAGGGCTCCCAAATTGGAAGAAATAT